TTGCAAAAGATCGATTAGAGCTTGCATTTGAGAGATTCGAGGCAAAACATTCTACTAATAATTTTTCTTCTTGTGTTTAATCATGAACTTCAAGATTAACTTCATTTTTATGTGTTCACCTGCTGAAATCATGGGCTAAAAAACCTGTGGCTTTCGTTTAGATTAGATTACTTGACTTTTTATGGTTTGATTTACAGATTGGATTATGATTAGTTGGTTATTTGTTACTTTAGCATATTAAAAGCCCTTTCTATGCTTATAACAACGACTTTTCTGTTTATTGTCGAGTTTCATTTAGTTTGCAAGACCATCATTCTTGATTAAACTTGAATCTTATGATATTCGTGAATTGCAAAATTGTAGGAGTAGTATTTTTACTAAAACCTATGGTTAAATAGAAAAGTGTGTAACTAATTGTAGGAGCTAATATATGACGACCATTCATATATTGAATTCATTTAATGAACCAAATTGATCAATCCATTATAAGTCTAATTTAATTCGAACCAAACACTAGTAAATTTGTTAGTTTATCTACCTGATCATCGTATGAATGAACTTATTTGCTAAAGGATTAGGTTAGTGAACATTAACATGGTCATCTTAGGAATCGGTAACCAACGAAACATTAATCCATTGAACTTCCATTAAATCAACCATAATAGCAAGTACATCGAAGCTAAACTAAAGACTCTCAATTATATTGGTTAAAATCGTCTTTTGTGTTTCTTGCTTTTAGTTTTAGTTTTCGTTTCATTAGTTGATAGTTAGTTTAGTTTGGTTAATTAAGTTTCTAGTCTTGCAAAACTAGAAGAAAACCCCTTTCCTTTATTAAATAGTAATTTAGGTAATTAGTACATAGAATTAGCTAATCATTCTGTTCCTTGTATTCAATACCCAACTATTTGTGTTATTCTATTTTGAATTAGGTACACTGCCTTAGGAGTAATAATTAGTTATATTAGTAGGTTAAACTAGTGCATAATTATTTGTGCATCAAGTATTTGGAGTCGTTGCTGGGGAACGATCCATTGTTAGTTAATTTGAATATGTTATTTTATTATGAATTTTTCTGTCTATTTTCTTTTAAAATTTTGTTTTAGTTTTCTTCTGTTTGACTTACCACGTTGTGGTCATAAACACCATGTCGTGGTGTCGTAGCAGTTTAAATTTTATTTTTCATTTTGTTCATTTTACGCGTTTTATTTGTTTTTGTTTCAGTGATTTATGACCCGATGATCAAAAACACCAATCATACCACCGTTTGATGATTCCGAGTTAGTATTCCATAAGAAGAAGACAAACAAAATCGGATAATGAAGCAAAAGGACTCTAGAAAGAGAATTCAAAAGTTTTTAGAAGACTCCTAACAAAAAGTAATCGCTTTACGAGCTAGAAAGCGAACTCGGATCAGACACAGTAAGCAAACCCGAAAGCGAGTCAAAAGCCAAAATGACGAAAATTGACGACATGACGATGGAGGCATACAAGAGGCGAATGCATGAAGATGCTGGGATGGGACATGTGTAACCCACAATTCCCAATATAGCTAGCTTTGAACCAAAAGGACACATACTTGCTCAATTGAATGACATACCATTCTATGGGAAATCACGAGGACGCCTACAAGCACATTGATGAGGTCAATGATACTGCCAACTACTTCAACATACCAAACATACCACACAAGAGAGTTTTGTTAAGAACACCCCCTATTACTCTTAAGGGTGCATCAAAAGATTCGCTGAAGGCACTCCCACCGGGTACAATAACAACAGGGGCACAAATGCGTGAAGAGTTCATATAACAATTTTGCCCACCATCTAATGTTTCCAAGTAAAAGAAGGCAATTGAAAATTTCAAGCAACAAGCAGGAGAGTCATTATATGAGGCATGAGAGCGATACAAGGGTTTGTTGCGCAACTGTCCTCAAAATGATCTAAATGTGCAACAAGAAGTCTCGATTTTCTATGATGGGGTAAACGTCACAACTAGGCGACTCCTTGATTTACAAGGACCACTCACAAAGAAAACAACAGTCGTAATCAAGGAGCTAATTGAGGAATTTTTCGAACATTCAAGGGAATATCATAACCCTCTACAAGATGTGACAAGAAGAATCACAAATTCTGCTTCGGATGACATGGAGGTGGTCTTAGCAATGTTGCATAACATAGATAAGAGGATGACTAAAACAGATCAAACAATCCATGCAATACAAGTGGGGTGTGAAAACTGTAACGGGCTGCATTTAACCAAAGACTATGATGTTGATGAAAATGGAAATCGGAAGGCCCAAGATTTCTATTCGAGCGGTGATCATTATGACGAAGACTGGAGAAAGCCCAAAAAAGTGTGTGCTTTATGATGAGTACAAGAAAGCCAAGGAAGAAAAGTATGAACAAAAAGGAAGAGGCTTTTACCAAAAAGTAGAACCAGCTCCTGAATAGAAACTCGATTTCGAGACAATGCTTGCTTGTTTTGCTGCCGCATCAGAGAAGAGACACGAAGATACCGAAGCAATACTTAGAAATCAAAAAGTTGCAATCAAGAACATTAAGCAACAAATCGGGCAACTATCTAAGCAACTCACCGAAAGATTATCGGCCACATTTCTTGGAAACACCGAAAAAAATCCAAGAGGAGCTCACATCCAAGCCATTACAACTAGAAGTGGAAAAATTGTTAGCCATCTGACTCCTATTAGTAGCAATAACCTGGATGATAAGCAGGAAGGGCGAGAAGCAGGTAAAGAAAGAGACACTGAACAATCACCATGAAGTGGTGAAGACACCACGACGCGGCGATCACTTGAAAACAACATCATTCTAATTCATAAACTTTCAACCTTTATGACTTTCCATGTCTAGAAAAGGTCCAAAAGCCATAACCTTAACTTATTAATCCATTAAGACAACATGACACTTTCATGGAAGGAATAAAAGGATCAAGATCACATTTTCATGGATCCTAATAGATCCATAATGGATAAAGTTTCCAACTTTATCCATTAGAATGCTCCAAACCACCAAGATCCTGCCTTTAATTATCAAAGGGAACAAAAAGTGCATCTTTTTCAAATTAATCCATTAAGTCCATGTCTCCAACCTTCACATCTGAATCACAATGATGTTTAGATGGGTAAAGTTTGCAACTTTATCCATAACAAGGTCACAATCTTTCAAGATCTAACATCCAAAACTAGCTTGATCTAACAAATGCATCATAAAGATTCAAACTTTATACCTCTAGAAGATAGATCAAGGTGAACAAGGTCCCGATCTACAAGCTTTAATAAAACCAACACTTCTCCAAGAAGTTCCTTCCTCTCGAAGGTGTACGATGCATACTCGAAAGCACTCAAAAACACCTTTTTTTGCTCACAAGGCTCAAACTTGGGTTAGGATTTCATGGAAGGGTGTTGGAGAGGTGGAAGGGTGAGAATGGAATAGGTTTGGGGAAGTTAAGGAGCTTAAATAGGGCTCAAACCATGAAAATAAGGTCTGGGCACTGATCGCATATGCCCAGCATAGCCAGAAGCCCTAGTACGCCCAATGTACCCCCTTGTACGCCCAACGTACTCAGCTTAACCCAAAACTGTCCAAAGTTCAAACGGTCATAACTTCTTCGTTTCAACTATGATTTTGATAATCTTTATATCCACATAAAGGTATTGAGGAGCTCCATGACCCTATCTAATTACTTTTGACTTAAAATACATTTAACTAAAATCCATAATTCATAAAAGAAGTCTGAAACACTACTTTCCCATTTTACCCTTTGACTCCAAAGCACAAACCGAACTCTTACATCCCACAATATACATTACCCACATCTAAATGGCTATAAACCTCTTCGGGTCACAACCCCGAATTATGAAACAACCTGATACAGGGTGTTACGCTTGGGAAGTACAGGCCACAACAATAATGTATTTAGCCTCAATTATTGAAATAAATACACATGTCTGCTTTTTTGACTACCAACTCACAAGTTTCCATCTAAGAATTAACATCCACATGTAGTGCTTATTCTATCCAATTGTTAAACTTGTAGATTATCATTTGAGAAAGATTGAATAAAGAATCCTATTTTTGATGGATACCACAATCCAAGAGTCGAAGTACCATGAAGATAATGAAAAATATTTTTCATCGCTGTAAGATGTGGTTCTCTGGGATTCACTTGGTACCTAGGACAATTACACATAGAAAACATAATATCATGTCAACTTACAGTTAAATACAATAATAAACCAATTGATCGCCAAATCCCCTCCAAAACGAAAGAGGTTTACCTGTGCTCCAGGACCAAGGTTGTAGGAAATCGGAGGGTCTGGTACCCAGGCTCCCCCTACGTCTGGTGAGTCCAATGATCTTGTAGAGACCTATACATCCTCTGCTCTAGATGATTGCGCTGTGATCATTGATCCTACGCTAAAACATGTCGAAGATATTATTCCCTTGTTTGAATTTGGCATTCTTTCTATTGAAGTTTTTCGTATATCCTTAAGCCAAATGGAAGAATCCCTTATCTATGATGTTTTTCAATGGCTTGACTGTCTCCGACGTATCTAGACCTTTTTCAAGAGATTCCATAACCTTTGCATTGTCTGTTGTCGATATTTTTTTTTCCAGAAGTTAATTGGTTCTGGGTATGGTTGTTTTAAGGAGATCACTGTAGAGACTACTATTGTGATTGTGAATACTCTAAACTAGGAATCTGATATCCATGGATCTTCACAAATGCTTATTGACACTTCCTCTGCTGAACCTTCTTCCGATTCGAATTCCTTATGTTTCTCCTAGATCGTAAGTGGCTTTCCCTCTTTTTTCTTATATATATATATATATATATATATATATATATATATATATATATATATATATATATATATATATATATGCAAGCATGCTTGTGAGCTAACTTATGAGGTCCTTTGTCTTCTTTGTTTGTTTATTGAAGTGATCATATCTTCTGTTAAGGAAGCTTCAATTCCTATGTTTTTCAGTCTTGCCGCTTCGCTTCCCCAGTTTCAATGTCCTTTCACTACCACTACCCTTCCTAGAAGTCTTGAGTTGGCGAGTGCTTATGATAAAGAAACCCTTGACAAATCCCACTCTCATATAATGGAGGGTATGCATCTCCTTAATGACGTATCTGCTCGTACCAAGGTCCAGATGGAGCTCCTTTCCCAACGACAGGTTAAGTTTGAAGAAGGCTCGTGAAAGTTAAAAGAGCTAGGCAAGATTTATGAATGAACCAAGTAGGAAGCCCAAGAATTCCGAGAAAGGTTGAGTGGGCTTTCTAAAATGAATATTCTTCTTGTAAGTGACCTGAGTGAAAGTATTCATTGCCGAAATGAGTTGAAGAACTTGAATAAGGATCTTCATATCAAATTCGACGATGCCATTGATCATCGTTCGATGCTCGCCAAGGCGTTGGAGGAGAAGACTCACCAGTTTGAGTCGATAAAGTTTCGATTTACTAAGATGGTCTCAGAGATGGAGATCTCATGTTCTAACAAAGATGTGTGTATTAAGATGCTAGAGATAGAACTTGTTGTTGAGAATAGGCTTCTCGCTGACTGGGATGCTCAGATTCTTCAACTGAATCAAGTCCAACCCTCTTATCTTCAGAATGAATCTCGTTTGACTTTGAGAGCCAAAATTAGAGCCTCTGAGCTTTGGTGGTTGGTGTAATAGGGCATTCCCTCCTTTGTTCATGCTTTATTTAAATCTATGAACTTCGGGGATGTGAACGTTGCGGTGCAAACAATAGATATTCAGCTTGTCCTTCATCAGGCGTTTATGGATGTGAAGGAAAAATATGTCAATCCTTTGGAAGGGAAGAATGTCCTTTATTCATATCCTAATGCGCAACATCAGGTGCTAGACTAGTTTCCAAGCATGGTGACCCGCAAGTATTCCTTGTTCGAGATTTTAAAAGGAGATGTTATGGACATTGGTCTTTTGAAAGAGAAGCTAGGCGTTTTGGATCCCATTTCGAATCCTGATGGTGCTTCTGGTAGTGTCTAACATGTCGATGTTTATGCACCTTTTCCTTTTATTTTCACTTTTTTGTAATATTATGTGGATATTTATATGCCTGTATTGGCTAAGCAATATGACCGCTTAAAGATTGAACTTAAAGCACATGTCTTTTATTTCCTTTATCTGCTGCAACTTGTGTATATCACCTAGTCATCGGATTTAAAGTATTTTTTTTACTATGAGGACTTAGACTCTATCCTTGTGGTATCACCTCTTAAGTGATAAGTTATGAACTTATCATTTAGGTTCAACATATGCTGATCAAACATACGTTTGCAGTAAGTTTGATACCAATTAGGCATTTCTGTTTCGTCTTCATATATGATGTGAAATCATGCTAATGATTCCCTTATTCCAAACTTTTTAGTTTGAGGTAATGTCAATAAATTACACACTTATGGTTTGAGATTCTATGTACATCATCGAGGTATCATATCGACTTTAAAGTTTATACTAAACTATAAGTTACAAAATTATAGTTCAAAGTACATATGTACATTATCGAGGTATGATGTGGCGGATCATACCGGTGTTAAATTTTATACTGAACTATAAGTTACAAACTTATAGTTCGAAGTAAACATGTACATTATCGAGGAATGATGTGGTGGATCATACCGATGTTAAATTTTATACTGAACTGTATGTTAGAAAATTATAGTTCGAAGTAAATATGTACATCATCGAGGTATAATGTGGCGGATCATACCGATGTTAAAGTTTATACTGAACTATAAGTTACGAACTTATAGTTCGAAGTAATTATATACATCATTGAGGTATGTTGTGGTTGATCATACGAATGTTAAAATTTATACAAACCTATAAGTTTCAAACTTATAGTTCGAAGTAAATATGTACATCATTGAGGTATGATGTGGCGGATCATACCGATGTTCAATTTTATACTGAACTATAAGTTAAAAACTTATAGTTTGAAGTAATTATGTACATCATCGAGGTATGATGTGGCAGATCATACCGACGCTAAAGTTTATATTGAACTATAACTTACAAACTTATAGTTCAAAGTAAATATGTAAATGATTGAGGTATGACGTGGCAGATCATGCCTACATTAAAGTTTATACTGAACTATAATTTACAAACTTATAGTTTGAAGTAATTATGTATATCATTGAGGTATGATGTGGCGGATCATACTGATGTCAAAGTTTATACGGAACTATAAGTTACAAACTTAGCGTTCGAAGTCAATATTTACATCATCGAGGTATGATGTGGGGATCATAACGATGTTAAAATTTATACTGAACTATAAGTTACAGACTTATAGTTTGAAGTAATTATGTACATCATCGAGGTATGTTTTGGCGGATCATACCTATGTTAAAATTTATAATGAATTCTAAGTTACAAACTGATAGCTCGAAGTAAATACGTACATCATCAAGGTATGATGTGGCGGATCATACTGATGTTAAAGTTTATACTAAACTATAATTCAAGTTATGATATGGCAAGAAAAAGTGCGAGATATTTCATTCAAGAGTACTATCTTGCTACATACAAAATACGAAAGTTGCCTAATGATATTGAGTTCCCAAATTGTGTCCTACTGTTATGCTTCCATGTTCGTCTTTGCTTCAAAAGTGGAATATGCATACATTTTGCAGATTCCATGTTCTTGGCAACCAGACTCCATCCATATTCTCAAGAACATATGAACCATTTGTGTTGCTTCCATAACTCGATACGATCCTTCCCAGTTTGGGCTTAATTTTCCAATGTGTTCGTGAGTACCGGATTCATTTTTTCATAGAACCAAGTCCCTTAATACTTTACATACTCATCCCTTGACTCTTGTGTTGTAATACTAGTCCCTCTTCATCTTATAATTTGCTTGTCATATGCCTGCGTCTCTTCTTCTTCCAAAAGATCCAGATTTGCTCTGAGGTCCACCTCATTCGTGCTTCCTTGAGGATTCTGATGGGTTTTGAGCACTACAACATTCGTATGGTGCATATGCAACCCTACTGCGTTGGTTCTAGGTTTTTCTCAAGTTATACATGCAATTATTATCCAAAGCATAAACCCTAATCTAGCATACAATTTTCAAAATTGATGACTTAAACATTGTTATAAGAATACCTTTCTTGTTAACTAGTAATAACAAGTAATCCTTTCCTTGATCTTGACCTTCAAGAGCTTAGTACCTCAATTGTTGCACCTCTATTTCAATCACAAATGCCACTAGCAATTGGATGAACAAGAGAGAGAGTGAGAGAGAGAGAGAGAGAGAGGCTAGGATTTTCGGCTAGGGTTTCCTCTTAGGATCAAGTGGTCGAAATCATCATGCTAAGGGATCTATTTATACTTGTGGCTACTAGGGTTTTAGGTGAAACCCTAATTTGACTGCTTAAGTCTTATGCAACATATGGAACATTTCTAGAAGGCCTTATGGACGAATTATCCTATGGGCTTCCCATGGAATTCGTCCACCTCCTTCTATTAGGAGTCCATAGCCCAACTTGCAACTAACAGTTAATTGCAATATCAGTCCCCATACATTTAATCGGTCTCTTTTAATCACTAAATTTATTCCAAATTAATTTCTGATCAATACCAATTAAATAATATGATTTCTCAATTAATATATTATTCTTATAATATATTAATAAATCATTAATTAACCTCTTTCTCATAATTCATCCATTCAAGTTGCTATAGTGAAGGCAACCCAAAAGGACCATACTACTATCGGGTCATGTACATACCAATTATAGTTATGGGATTAGACACATAATCCAAAAGATTCCTGGTTCGTGTGCATCATATGGTGACTTCTATCGGGGTAATAGCTTCTATTCTGTATACTAGACCGAATGATGTTTCCTTAGTCGATGTTCGCGTCGTTGTTCTGTAGGACCATAACACATTCTATTACTCATCCACCCAATTTCCTTTAGCTTATCCCAATCTTTTATTTATCCCTTTTTACCAAATTTCGATTTGTGACTTCCACTTGCCTATTCGCCTATGGATGTGCTACTGAAGTGAAGTTCAGTTTGATTCTTTTTTCCAGACATCAACTTTTAAAAGGATTGTCTTCAAATTGCTTTCCATTGTCACTAATGATGGTGTGTGGCAGACCAAAACGACATACAATCTGTTTCCAAACAAACTTTATTACGTTCTTTCCAGAGATTACAACTATTGCCTCAGCATCAACCCACTTAGTGAAGTAATCCATTACCATAATCAAGAATTTCAACCTTCCTTGTACTTCTAGGAATGGTCCGACAATATCAATTCCCCATTAAAAGAAGGTGCATATATTGGTAATACTTGTCTTCTTTGGTGGTGGTAGTGCAGGGATGTTCGAGTGCGTTTGGATTTCGCGACATTTGGCTATGAATGTGTTCGTATCTTTAGTCACCAAGGGCCAGAAGTATCCTGTTTGTAAGATTTTATGAGTAATCATCGTGGATCCTGTGTGCGCACCACAAACTCCTGAATATATTTATCGAATAAAAACCTCCGCTTCTTTCCATGTAATTCACTTTAGACATGAGGTAGAATATCCCTTTCAATAAAAGTTGTCTCCATACATAGTATAGTTTGGTGCATTTATCATGTTTTCTGTGCTTCCTTATCGTCAGCGAGCAATACTCATTTTTTTTAGGAAAGGGATGTATGGTGTCATCCATGAGCCTTCTTATTCTGTTAATTTCATCGCCTCTAGGGCTACTCCTTCAATAATCCTCATGGATAACATTTGTACCAAAACCCTTTTAGAAATATGGTTGAACATTACCGACGCTAGCTTACTCAATGAATCTGATTCTTTGTTTCGTGATCTCGAGAATTCCGTGATTTCAAATCTCAAGAACTTTCTGATCGATTCTTTAGATTAAGCAATGTACTTTTGTATGTGTGCCTCATTGGCTTCGTAATCATCTTTTATTTGGTTAACCACGAGCATCGAATCATTAAATACCTTCAGGTCCAGGACATTCATTCTTCTTGAAAACCCCAGTCCTGCGAGTAGGGCCTCGTATTTTGCTTCATTATTCAAAAATTTAAATTCAAACTTGAGTGCGTAAGTCGATTTATCCCCTTGCGGGCTGGTGAGAATAATCCCTACCCCTGAACCGTCTTTGCTTGAGGCTCCATCTATATACAATGTCCAACACGCCAAGGTGAATTAGTTTGGTA